TTAAGAAAACCAGCATATTCCTCATCCAAAATATTTATTTTTTTTACTTCACAATATTATAGGTGTACAAATATTTTGGTTACATATAATGGGTTTGCCACACCCAAGACCGGGCTACAAGAGTGCCCTTCTCCCACACAGCTCACTCCCCATACAACTGAGTAGTTGAGTGCAGTAAGAAGTCAGAGTGTCTTAGCTGATGTCTGCCCACTGACATCTTAAGGCTCATCCTTCATCTTCCCTGTTTGTCCCACTCATGGGAATTCTAGGAAGGAATCACAGGTGCTTTCTCTCGAGATGGCTGTCAGAGGTCCAGACCCCACCAGACCCTACCAGACCCTTTCTGGGAGTGAGAGCCCCCTCCCTGCCCACCAGGGAACTGTTGTGAAAACCTGAGCCAGTCTCCCTTCCTGCCCAGCGAAGCCAATGGGACTCTCTTGAGAGGCCTGCCCTGCTCTGCAGACACCTCAATAATGGAGGGAGTAACCCTTCCCGTGTTCATTTGTGTGCGTGTGTGTGTGTGTGTGTGTGCATGTGTGTAACACCATCAGAGTCAACATCTACACTAAATGTTGGTGGGGTCCCCCTGCCCTTGAATTCTGTCAGATATAATCGATATTGTGAGCCTGGTGCTGGGACACTGACCACCACGGGGTCTTCCTTCTCTTGCTTAGGACGCTGACTCCCTGTGCCCCTGATGTCCCATAGAAACGTTATCCTGCTTGCTGGCCAGAAGGAACGTTCACTTCTGTGTGCTGTGCTGCATTGTGTTGTCCGAGACAAAATCTGTTATTGATTTTCGGACTTTTTCAGAAGTGCTCATAATTAATGTACATTTGGGGGCAGGACAAAGTGACTGGAAGCCACTCTCTGCCTTTCGTGCAGGTGAGAATATTTTCTCTCATTACCACAAACATATCTAACTCAGAGACTGCAGAGGGAAGCACAGAATCGTGAATTCAGAGAAGTTCCCCAGAGGAAACGGTTTTATGGAGAGGAAACCACGACCCTGAGGGGAAACCAGCCCTTACCCTCCACCTGCACCTGCCCTGGGCTGACTCTGCTCCTTGTGCAACGCGCGCCACCTGGCGGCCACGAGCCCCCACAGCAGGTTTGTATCTGGGCTCAGACTGATGTCCCCTCACTGTGTCTTTCGCACAGTAGTACACGGCCGTGTCCTCGGCTCGCAGACTGTTCATTTGCAGAGACAGCGTGTTCTTGCTGTTGTCTCTGGAGATGGTGAACCGGCCCTTCAGGGCGTCTGCGTAGCTTGTGCTACCACCACTACTACTAATTCTCGAGACCCATTCCAGCCCCTTCCCTGGAGCCTGGCGGAACCAGTACATCACGTAGCTGCTGAAGGTGAATCCGGAGGCTGCACAGGAGAGTGTCAGGGACCCCCCAGGCTGGACCAAGCCTCCCCCAGACTCCACCAGCTGCACCTCACACTGGACACCTGCAAACACAGACACATCCTGGTCA